GCCCCTATGGGTGATTGAAAAGTACATTTTTTGCAAGTCAGACATCCGAGAAAGAGAGAGAGACAGAGGCATGTGGTTCCAAATGAGGGAGAAACAGATTATAGATGCATGTTGCGGTGAGCATACATGTATGTAGGATATAATTACATGTGCAGGTTTGTGACCCCCAGACAGGGGCACCTCATTGCTATCAACGATGGGGATGTGCAAATATGTAAAAAGCAGTAAGAGAGCCACCCCAATGGTCAAAGAGTCCAAAATGTTTATTAGATCCACCAGGGGTAGCCAAACTCCGGCCCTCCAGCTGTGGTGGAACTACAAATCCCATGAGGCATTGCAAGATTCTCACAGCTACACCCAAGGACGAGGTCTGTATATCTCACTCAGGAAGGCAAAGAGGAACGTCACCCATTCATTGATCTATGAATCATTCAAAGCTGCTGCTGCGTTTGTATTTTGCCTTTTCTGGTTCCTCCTTTCCCCTCCTCAAAAACATTTTTCAACAAAACTTTTCCATTGTCAGTTACAAAGTCTTATTTTAGACCCAGTGATAGGGTTGCCACCTGTCCCAGAATTCACCTGGACAGTCCGGGTTTTGAGTGCTGTATGTGCTGTGTCTGGGTATCAGCTGGCCTGAAACATGGAAACAGCACATACAGCACTCAAAACCCGGACTGTCCAGGTGAAGTCTGGTACAGGTGGCAACCCTACCCAGTGATGTCATCCCCGGGTCTTTGCGCTTTTCTATCCGATGCAAGCAGATCATGGCTGGTGGGAGGGGCCGGCAGGGTGCTGTGCATAGTTTCCTGACAACATCACAACCCCCTGCCTCAGTACTATCTCAAGAGACCTCAGCCATTATGCTAATAATCTAACGCCTCGATGAGTGGAGTGGATGTCAGTCTGGAGGAGAAGGTGTTCTGTATTTGAATGCAAACTGCCCTGGTAACACCCATATGTGATGCTGAGCCTCCGTGATTAAAAGATTTGAAATCCAATGAATGAAAATGGTGGGCAATAATGGGCACAGCAGGTGTACAGACGAGGGACCCCAATGCAGGAATGGTGGGAGCCCTTTATAATGGGCACAGCAGGTGCACAGACCCGGGAACTCTTCATAATGGGCACAGCAGGTGTACAGACCCGGGAACTCAGCACACGGATGGTGGGAGCTCCTCATAATGGGCACAACAGGTGTACAGACCCAGGAACTCAGCACACGGATGGGAGCCCCTCATAATGGGCTCAGCAGGTGTACAGACGTAGGAACTCAGCACAGGGATGGTGGGAGCTCCTCATAATGGGCACAGCAGGTTCAGCTTAAAGGAGAACTATGGGGGTAAGTAAGACTCTATTGGTGAGATGTTTCCCGGGATGAGTTCCCGGGTCTGTACACCTGCTGTGCCCATTATGAGGAGCTCCCACCATCCCTGTGCTGAGTTCCTGGGTCTGTACACCTGGTATGTGTTCACTCACTTCCGGATCTATTGAGCCGACCTGCGACAGTTTCATTGTCACACGTCGGCTCAAACTATGAGGATGAGTGATTTTCACTCACCTCATAGTTCTCCTTTAAGTTTCCTTAGGTAATGGGTCTTGGAGATAAGGACTGGACCTCTCAATGCTACACCCTACCTAGGCAGCAGGTGTAGGAGGCAAGGACTAGACACTGCCATACACACATCCTCACTAAGCAGAGCCTAGGAGGCAAGGACCTTCCAAGAAGGCCTCATTATATTCATCCCCTTCCCCAGTTCACATCACTGTCATAAACCCCTCAGGTAGTGACTAAGACAGAATGAATATTCCTAACCCTATATCTTGGGCGGAATTTATCAAAACTGGAGCAGACAAATTCTGGAGCAGCTGTGCATGGCAACCAATCAGCTTCTCTCCTCAGTTTGCTCAGGTAAGATTTGAAAACGAAAGAGAGAAGCTGATTGGTTGCCATGCACAGCTGCTCCAGAATTTGTCTGCTCTAGTTTTGATAAATTTCCTTCATTGTATCTTCTCAATCTCTCTACTGGAGAACATTTCCCAGAGGCAGGCAGAAGCAAACAATGTCTTTGGGTTTAGGAATAACCTAACGATCCCAGATAAAGCAAGCAAAGCTCAGGCTGGCTACAGCCTAGCTGCCAACACTAAATTTAGGCCCGGGACACTGCAGCTTATGGCCAAGTTGCTAAACTGTAAAATTAGAACTCGGAGTGCTACATTTTATCCAAAAGACTGATTCCAATGAAATGATTGCAGTTGATAATGATGGCCAATGTCAGGGAGGACATCAGAAACACCCAAATAAACTATAACCGCTAGACATGTGCATTGGCAAAAAATGTGTTTTGTTTCGTTTCGTGTTGATTTGGATTTTGTGTTATTTTGTTTTTCAGGATTCGGCTGTGAAGGTCAATTCGGACGAAATTCGTTAGCGGTAGTTCGTTCGAACGTTCGTTGCAGCAAAGTGGCATTTGAGGGGGGACATTTTTTTCTCTCCTTCTCTAATGTCCCTTTGCTGCAACGAACGAACGAAACGAATAAGAAATGAAAACGAAACGAACGTGCGAACGAATGAATTTCGGAAACGGAAATTCGGATTCGTTTGCATTCGTTATATCTCTAATTCGGAATTTGGATACATCCGAATGTCCGAATTTCCGAAAATTCGTCCGAATTTCTATTCGGAACGAAGCGAATTGCACATGTCTAATAACCGCTGTAAGCTATAACCTTACAGATAACCATGTGCTGTATATACCTTATCACATTTCCTGACACATAAAGAGACTTACGCCGTACCTGGTTTCACTATTTGTCTTTATGTGATAATTGTAGCATATTGACATATGTTGGGATACAGAGTCACAAGTGACAGGGAGATATCAACTTCTATGTACTGCAAATCAGCCATTGCTCAAAGAGTACCTGTCATACATACACAGTGGAGGTTATTGCTGGTAGCTAGTAGCACTCTGTGGCAAGAACAAGTTGTGTTGTAATCTGTCCTTTATACTAAAGCACCCCCTAATGCGTCACTCTCCTCTTGTAGAACCTTTAACACATCCTGCATTGTGCGGACGTTTCCTTAACCATCCCAAACAGTTAAAGCAAACTTGTGCTTTGGTCATGGAGAGCTATGAAACCGGTTCTCTTTAATGTCACCCTCCCCAGCAGCACATACTCACCGCTCCTTCACTCCACCACTGCTCCCAACTGCTGCCAGGTGTTGAAAAAACGACCTGATACTTCTAGGTATGGAGGATCATGGGACTTGCATGTGACAGTGCTGGTGATTAGTGATTGGTCCAGCACTGTCACACAGGGGTGGTAGGGAGTCAGCCCTTGACTAGAGCTTAAACAAGGATTCCTTGTTTGGTTTTTTTTCTCCAGATGAACAGCTGGGGAATGAGAGGAAGGAACACTATATGGCCAAGCATTAGTAGACACCTAATCATCACATCTACCAGTATGGCAAGGCTAAGTGGACACCCCTCCGAATAATTCATTTCAATTGTTTCCCGTAAATGGTATTCTAAATCCTATAGCGTCTGACATGAGTTTGGGGAAGGTCCCTTTTGGTTCCAGCATGACAGTGCCTCTGTGTACAAAGCCAGCTCCATATAGACATGGTTTGATGAGTCTGGTGTAGGGAAACTCAAGTGGCCTGCTCAGAGCCCTGACCTCAACCCTACTAAACACCTTTGTGATGAATTGGATCGCTGATTGTAAGCCGGGTCTTCTCATCCAACATCAGTACCTGACCTCAACCCTACTGAACACCTTTGTGATGAATTGGATCGCTGATTGTGAGCCGGGTCTTCTCATCCAACATCAGTACCTGACCTCACCAATGTTCTTTTGGCTGAATGGGCACAAATTCCCAAAGACACACTCCGACTTCTTATGGAAAGCGTTCCCAGAGGAGTAGAGGCTGTTCTAGCTGCAAAGGGAGAGGGGGCAACTCCATATCAATGCCCATGATTTTGAAATGGGATATCTAACAAGCTCATATGGGATGGTCAGGTGTCCACAAATTTTTAGTCATACAGTCTATGTGCTGGGAGTTGGGGGGGGGGGAATCAACTATGCAGGTCTGAGTGCAGACAGTATGCGTCCAAGTGCGGGATCCCGGACCATCCACATTATAGCCTTTAAAGATAAAACTCTACCGTTATTATTAAAAGTGGCCATGTTACATGTCTGTCTCAGGCTAGGTTCACACCTAGGCGATTTATCGCACGGATTGAGTCGCATTGAAGTCAATGGAGGCTTCCAATGGAGGTTTGGGTCCCATAGACAGCTCTATGCATTGAGGCTAGGTTGACACTTGCACGACACCCGGGCCACGCCTCGGGGCACACAGCGGTTGCAGCACGGCCCCATTGATTTCAATGGGGTGACATCTGCACGGCAATGGCTAAAAAAAGGTACATGTACTTTTTTTTGCGACACACAAAGCGCGGCTTGGGTTGACGCGCGACTGGGGTGCCATTAGAAAATAATGGCACCCACAGCGCGATTGCCTGCGGTGGGCAACTCTATGACCGCGCTACAATTCACGAGGTTTTGTGCACGATTGCCGTGCGGTGAGGAGTCACCCGGGTATGGATCTAGCCTGAAAACTGCGCGACAACCGTGCGGTTTTCAAAGCACAATCGCACAAACAAAAACGCTCGCCATCCGCGCAATAACAGCTCACCAGCTCAATCGCCTAGGTGTCAACTTAGCATAAGATGAGAGAAAAGAATAATGACTGCTGCAGACAAGGGAGAGAATATCCTCAGTCTCCACCCCCCCAGCGGTCACTCTGTATAATGTAACTTGTAGCAAATCACAAGGTGAGAGGAGGAGATAATTAAAGTTCATCTGTCATCAGGAAATTACAGGCTGCCATTGCTGACCTGCTGATCGGCATTACAACCATGGAATGGTCTCAGAAGTAGGTCAATGGAAGCTTACATGGTTCACTAGATCGGTATACCTCCCAATCGACTACCATTTTCAGAAGGGGGTCAGCAATGACAACCCTAAAATTCCTCTCATGGCAGGTTCTCACTGTGTGTGAATGACCAAGCAGCCAGCAGTGCCATCAGTACTATCGCGAATAACCCTGACTCTGTAAGGGAAGGCCTGTAATGAATGGAGTTGCAGGCAAAAAAAGTGTGCTCCATCGTGAGTCCTATAGTTCCACTGATTGTCAACCCAATGCCAGGCCGGCCACAGTAAATAATCCACAACATGGGGTTTATATGAGATGCTGTTTTTACTACTAGGAAGAAGGGAGTGTAAGGATATAAAGGTGACATTATTCATCTAAAGTCAGTGCTCTGAAGATTGGGGCATGGGACGGGACTGTATAATACCAGGGTGGGGTTATGATTAAGGTTCATTGGAGTCTTAGCGTGTATCATTTCCATCCGCAGTCCCTTCCTCTGGTGGCGGGAGACGCCGTGGTGGAAGTCCGGCTAGCTGGCGACACTTCTCGTCTGTGTTGGGAAAGAAGGTAAAAAGAAGAGACCCAGTAAGATGGAGATGAAGACTGATGGCAATTTAGACTTGTCCTCATGGGTGGTACCTGCTCCTCCCCAGCTGAATGGCTCCTCATCTCCCACACCCAAGGAACAAGCTTTCTATATTCTAACAGGTCAGCACATAAGAACCTCATCCAACTACAGAGTTGGCAGTTATTTACACTACAAGAGGTGCATCAGAACAAACCCCAAGCACATCCAAGCATATCCAAAAAAAAGCACAAGGAGCCCCATCAGATGAGGACATAAAGAGGAAGGGGTAGGTGATCAAAGACAAAAGAGGCTTTCCCTTTTACCCATTATCATCTGTATCCCTGTGTAGAGGAGACACACAGAGAGATGTTTAATTATTTGAAGAATACGTGTGCTGTAAAGTGGACCTGTGCTTTGCCTATGTCGGGCAAAACAACAGGTACACTTTAATGCCAACCCCACCAGCAGCCCATACATTCCCTTTGCTGCCCAGCCCCACTGTTTGGCCAACAAAAGCAAAGAGAAATACTGGTACTTCCAGGTACATAGGAGCATCTGAAGGACTCGTTTTCCTCCAACCCAACAGTGCTGGCGATTGGCTACTTAGGCACCTTGTACTGTCACATGGGGTGGATGGAGAGTCCTCAACCCTTTGGAAGCTCCAAGACTTCTTCCCTTCTCTTTCAGCAGGTTCATAGAGCACCAGGAAAACAGAGAAGGTAAGCAAGTGCAGCTGTGGGGACCCACAGTAAAGCTGAACTCCAGGTGGAAATTCAAGAAGAACCCCAAGTTTTAGAAGAATGGACCCTTGCAGTTGGTTGCTGCTCCTTTGCTTTCCAGTTGTAGGCCGTGGGTGGGGAGATGACAATAACGCTGACACTAACAATGACCCTAACGCTGACCTACATCAGGCCCTGATCTATTTCATATTTATTTATTTCATATTTATTTATTTATTTATTTAATTTGTTTTATTTCATATTTATTTATATATTTATTTCATATTTCATATTTATTTCATATATCATTTTTATTTATTTATTTAACA